CCTTTCTTTTATTTTATAATCTGTCTGCCTTACTCTTTTCCTCCCACCGCACAAGGTGACCGTTGTTGTGTCGAATGTCAGCTTCTCTTTCTTTGTAGTCGTCGAGCCTAACTTCACCTTCAAATCAACCCGTGTGGGTGGTTGGCGGGTGCTCTGGTGTGGTTTGCTCTTTCTTTCCTATCAAACATCTACCGCCCTGACCTCTCCTCCTTGCCTTCTGTTTTGTGTTTGCCACTCCCCCTTTTAACACCTTTACTCTTCGGCTCGTATACGACCTTATTGTGTTGCAAGTGCCGTAAAACTCTTACGAAAACGAAAATATTTTCCTTTTCTCGCGCAAGGTGACCCTTTATTGTGTCGATGATCTCAGCTTCTCTTTCTTTGTGGTCTTCAAGCCTCACCTCCAAATCAACCTCCCCCTGTTCTCAGTAGCTAGAGGGGTTGATATCTCTGTACATTACAGATTAAATTACCCAAGAAATCGCCCGTCGAGTGGGGTGGATGGATCAGGATAGTCCGTAAATGTGTTCTATTTATAGTACAAACATAAACCTGTGGTCACGCTCTTGGGTCAGGCTCGCGACCTTTGGGTTGGCTAGATGTGAGGAGAGTTGGGTGGCTGTAGTGTTAGTAAATGTTACGTCGCTCTCAAAGTCACTTTGAACCAAAGCCACATTTCCACTTGGTTTTGCAATCATAATGAATGGAGAAACAAAATTACTCTCGCAGAACCCCCCCCAACCATCTTTCCACCTTTCTCTTTATTTGGGTGGCTGGAAAATACAATCGTGTCGTCTGCTCCTTTTGTTTCTTTCCTAAGTCTCTGCTGTACATGAGCTGGTGTGTTCCTGGCGAAGTGTGACCCTTGTTTTTTTTGTTCATGCTTGCTGATTGTTGAGAAATATACGAAAGATTAACGAATATACTCGAACTATAACAACACACACACATACACACACACACACACACACACACACACACACACACACACACACACACACACACACACACACACACACACACACACACAAGCAAAATGTCAATTACAGAACTGAGCTTCCTTTGACGACCTCTTCGAAGAAAGGCCACGAGAGGAGAAAGAAAATGCGATGAAGAAACATAACAGTACATGTAACAGGGTGGGGATGCTGGCGGGGGGAGGGGGGAGTAGAGAGAGAGAATGCCAGGAAAATGCCCTTTGTTAATATTTAAACACTTCGTGGAGAGGCCTCGAGAGGAGAAAGAAAAGGCGATGATGAATTGCAACAGGGAGGGGATGCAGAGAGGGGAGGGAAAGAGTAGGAGGAGTTTGGGAATAAATACATGTACAACTTTTTGGGTTAGTGGGGTGGGTGATAGGAAAGGGAAAAAAACGAAAAGAACGAAGGGGGGTGGAGGAGGGGGG